GATAAAGGATGCCAAAGGAGTCACGACATACAGGTTGAGAACCACTAGTTTATAGCCTTACCCTACTTCCACTTCACCCTCTCTGCTTCACCTTTGAGTTCATGTAGTGAAAGGAGTGGAAGGCTGCGTCCCGCCACCTGTCTCCTGGCTAGCTTTACACTCAAAATAATTACACGGAAACTGTATTCTTTTAAACACTGCCTGGCCCATTAGCTCTAGCCACTTATTGGCTAATTCTCACCTCTTGACTAACTCATATCTAATATTCTGTATATCACCATGAGGTTGTGGTTTACCGGGAAGATTCTAACCCACGTCCATCTCGGAGAGGAGAGCCATGGCATCTGCCTCATTGCCTTCTTCCTAGCATTCTGTTCTGTCTACTCTGCCTATCTAAGCTGCTGTCCTATCAAAGGCCAATGCAGTCTCTTTATTTACCAATGAAAATAACACATAGACAGAATACCCTCATACATCATTTCCCCTTTTTTTGTTTAAACAAAAAAGAAAGGTTTTCACTTTAACACAGTAAAATTACATATAGCAAAACAGTTATAAAGCAAGAATTATTGTAACAATCTCTATATCTATTTTATCTTTTATCATAACTAAGGAAAACTATAACTATAACTAACCATTCATCAACTCCATCAAAGACTCCTGAAGGATGTAATATTACCTAGGTAAATAAGAAGTAAGCAACTTCCAAACTCTAGAAATGGGAAGGCAATGAGGCAGATGCCATGGCTCTCCTCTCTGAGATGGACATAGGTTAGAATCTTCCTGGTAAGCCACGACCTCATGGTGATATACAGAATATTAGATATGGATTAATCAGGATGTGAGAATTAGCCCATATTAGGCTGGAGATAATGGGGCAAGCAGTGTTTAAATGAATACAGTTTCTGTGCAATTATTTTGGGTAAAGCTAGCCGGGAGCTGGGTGGCAGGACACAGTCTGCCACTCCTTCTACAAGTTCAGAATACAGTCTTTCATCTTACTACTTCTGCAGTTATGCTTCCCTGCAGTGATGAACTCTTTCCCTTTGGAATAATAAGTCAAAATAAACTCTTCCATATGTTACATATATGGTCATGATGGTCATGGTGATTTATCACAATAATAAAGAAATATACAAACACCAATTCCTCAATAATATGTGAGTGAATGTTTGATTTGCTCTTATTTAAAGTACTTTAATATAAAATATCTATTTCTGCCTAATCTTAAATTTATATATGCATATGCATTACTTTGTGTTCCAATAATGGAGTAACAAATGCTCATACTAGCTACAAAACAGAACATGGTTCAGTCAGTCATGAGGAAAGGAAAATCCTTTGATTTGCAACGAAATCAACAGAAAAAGAATACTTTATGGTAAATGAAATATGCCATCCATAAAATTTAGCAGGAATTCACTTACATATTGAATCTAAAAATGTCATCTCATAAATGAGATATTGGGCATAGGGTGGGAGTAACCATTGGAGGATGCTGATTGACTGATACTAAGTTACAATCATAGAGAAGGGATAGCTTTTTTCTAGACAAAACTAGTTTGTTCTACTTCTTAGTAAGATGACTAACTCTGAAAATTGTATAGTTTATGTATTTTGAATGTTCAATTAGACAATGCATAGTTTTGGTAAAATATCACAAGTTATTTTTGCTTGATATTTATAAAATATATGCATATATTAAAATTTCCACTGTACCTCATAATATCAGTACAATTTCTATCAAGTAATGAATGCTCACAAGGATAACTATCCATTTTTATTTCTAGAACTTTTTGTGAATGTTGTTAGTATATCATCATGTAAAGAGTCTTTTTCTGTCCTGCCAGCCCACTCCCCCCAAAATGATGTGGAGATTTCTTATTAATTATGAAACTTGGCTTATACCTTAAACTTGTTCCTAACTAGCTCTTAAGCTTAAATTAACTTATTTATATTAATCTATGTTCTATCACGTGGTGTTACCTCTAGTTAATCTTTCACCTCCTGTTTCTTCACCATCTGACTGGTGACTCCCTCATGCCTAGATTCATCTCCGTTTCCTCTCTCTCTACCTAGAAGACCTGACTAACCTCTTCCTGCATAGCTATTGGTCATTCAGCTCTTTATTACACCAATCAGAAGGTGCCTTGGCAAAGACACATCTTCACAGTGTACAAAATGATTATTCCAGAACACCATCTTATTAAAATAGGCAACAAGAAAACAAAATAGATAGTACAATTAAAAGTATTCATTTACAGAAAACCATCCACATTTTACTCCCACAAGTTTTATTACTTTATTCCTCAAATGCATCTGGGTACTAGTTATAAGGTTTTTGGAGAATATTAGTGTAGCAAGCTGAGAAAGTCCTGGGTGAAAGTGTAAAGAGCAGATAAAATCCTGAATGGATCATTTGACATTGGCACAACCGTGTCACAGACCCAGTGCCTCAGGTACACGGGAATAGCAAAGGCTTCCCAACCATAGAGTAAGGCTCAAAGGGTTACCAAAGCCTTCTTCTGGTCTGAGTGCAAATGCTGGCTGTGTGTGCAAAAACTAGCAGATACAGCTTCCTCTTCTAGGATGTTTAAAGTCAGAGACACCTTCTATGGAGACTATCTAACTTCCTTCCTCTGGGCTGTACACAATAAATGCCCTGAGGTTCAAAGTTGTGATATAGGAAGTCAGGCTCCATCAGATTATGCACAGTGTGTGTAATCCCCAGCTTTTCTGTATGTGTGCCCCTGTTTCTCTCCTTTCCTCACTATTCAAGTCAGGTTTCTTGGACCAAGAGGTGCAGCATGAGGAATGCCATAAAGGCTTCTTCAGAAGTATATGGTACAGATTGCTGCAGGCATAGCTGGCAGAAAGATAAAAGGACTTCGTCTCCCATCTGCTTTGTATATCATCTAATTTTCTACTATCCTACTCAAAGTAAATTGGAATAAGCATAACATATAAGCATACTGAGAGTTAACCAGAGTTAAACAAACACTCTTTGCCTTCAGGTTTTTGCTACATAGGTTAAAGTTTGATTATGTCTGAAAGGTCAATAGGAAAATCTTCTCTACACTTGAATGGTTTAGTGACTGTCAGTTTTCTTGCTGAGCTATGACCTAATTTTCTTTTCCATTGTGGCTAGGAGCTGTTTGACTTACCTGGAAATGAGTGTTAAGTAAGATAAGAGAGTAAAAAAATAATAAAACTCAAAATTTATTCATTAATTCCATGAGAAGATTATTGCCTATAATGTGTCAGACATGTGGTATTTTCTGGGGAATCTAAGAATGCTTATAGACCTCTTTAAATCTGAAATGCTTCCAGTCCACGGGTGAAGAAAATATAATTCTTGATATATATGCATAAATGTTGACTATATGTCTTCTAATCCCCTCAGTTACAAATAGGAATGTCCAAGAAAAGTGACTAAAATAATACGATTTTAAGCTTGTAATGGAATTTTATTATTCCTCTCCCTTTTCCCTCTCCTCTTAATTTTTATACATCCCTATCAAAATCAAACTAACAAATAAATTAAGAAAAGGAATTAACTAATTACATTCTACATCTCTTGATGAGACAACGGTATTATATAGGCACTGAGATATTATTAGAAGCCTTTTCAAGTTCTGATATTCTCGTCAAGTAAAATAGGAAGTGCTACATTGCCAAACCCAGTGACTTTTCATTAAGGTCAAATCTTCTCTAAAAAGAATAAAATACAAGAAATATGAAAATAAGAGCAAATTAAATTTAGTTTAAATCTCTCTGAAAAAAAAAAGTGGAAAATAGGCAATATAAGGTGTCTCATGTTTTGTTTCTCTAGTCTTTCTTGCCTGTGTTGAGATGAATTTTCAGTCATCTTGAAAGCACAATGAATGTCTTCAAGAATTATTTGACTTAATAAAACAGGAAACTGCATTTTATCCTATGAGCCATGAAATGAGCCATGGAAGAGCACACGCACACTGTAGGATCACACCTGTTTTATTTCAGCATGAGTTGGTTTCTCTAGCTAAAAGTCACAATTGAGAATAACATTTGATTAGACATGTCTGGTTTCAGAGACACTTTCTCCATGATATGTGATTATATAGTTCATGTATTAAATGAGATTTAAAATTTAAATGGTGCATTGTGTATTGGAGTTGATATTCACAAATGTAACGCCTTCTTTAATAGCATTCAACCCAATTCTTAAATTAAATAAAATTAGGTAAATTTAAATAAAAAGTTCTTTTAATTATACAGCAGACATACAAATTCTTCCCATAAATGGATTTATGTAGAGAGGATTCCAATCACAGGTAAGAATTTATCATTAAAGACTAGAAAGTAATATTTAAAAATAAGTATTCATAAAACATCTAAAAATATAAGAATGAGAAATAAAATTTTTATATTTGAGTGAAAACAGATGCTAAAAAGAAATCCCACACTAGCTCAGAATTGAGTATAATGAAGGGTTATTTATTTAGGGGTAGACTCACAGATCACAGTCAGCTGCTTGAACAGGGAACAACAACTGAATCCAGCATCTAGAAGAGAGAGCGAGTCTGCACATTACATAGGCATTTATAGTATAAGAGGCCATGCCCAAATGGGCAGATCACTTAAACTCTACTGGCTGAAGGATTTCCTACAGCATTTGAGAAAACTCCTGTATAAGCTAAGAATTTCTTACCAGAGATAATCCTTGTCTTGATTAAACAGGGATACTATATGACCTCATTGGTTCAATATGAGGATGGTAAAGATGATGAGGGAGAACACTGCTCATTTATGAGAGGTGTCCCTGGCAAATGCACAGAAATTAAGGAGTGCCTGTCTTGAAGAGAGAATTGGTCTCAGTGAAATTTGATTGTGTGCCTTTGTGAACTTTAAAAATGTACATAGTTTGAGAGAATTATAGGCTTATATTGAGATTTTAGATATTTTCAGAGTAAGTAAGCTCTATATAATTTTTATTCAGTCCTTAAAATTTCAATACATAGACGAAGAAGAGACTCCACCATTGTCAAGATGATAAAGAAGTCCAGCCAGTAGTGCTACAGAAACCGTTAGAAGACACCTTGGAATGATTTCTGAGTTGATATTTTAGAAAGGTAAGTGTTTTCTATAAAGGCATCAGAAAAACTCAGTAGAAAAAAATATTTAGAAAGTATTAAAAGTATGAGTTGAAAATGATTGAATAGAAAAAGAAGATATGGTGTATTAACTGAAATTCCAGATTTTTTTAAAAAAAAAGCGCCATGCAAGGTCTGTAAGATGTTATTCTTAGCCTGGAGGGGAGACACCTGATCAAAATGTAGTTTTCCCAAGGTAAGGCTTATCCTTTGCATGTTGATTCTGCCAACACCTACAGCATCCCCCACGTGGGAAACTCAACTTTAGAATCTGTGCTAGTGAGGGAAGGATGGTGCTCATGCTCCTTACTGGGCAAGGCAGGAGTTTGCAGGGAGAATTTTGCATGACTAATTAGCTGATTAGAACTTTGTGTTTGTGTAGAGTGGAAATGTTACCAACCCATAGCCAAATTACCCTGGACTTAATCCCTTAATTAGCCATGGATTGCTATTCTGTGAATATTTTCCCCGGGGAAGAGGTGAACAAATATCTGCTAACCCCAGATAGACAACTAATGACCGACCAAAGTACAATTTAGTGAACCAATGAGTTGCTAGTGTTGCTTGCAGAAGTATGGGTGAGGGATTACTGAAAGAGGTAGGACAGTCCAAAGGCATTTGCATCACCCCAAATTCCATTTCATCCTGGGAGGTTGCAGTCCTTGAGGTCCTCGAAACTTTTCTAGGAACTGAACTAGTTGGCGAGTTTCTTCTCTCAGTCACTGCTTACAGTTTCTGCAAATCATGGAGGCAGGGGGATCTTACCAGTTCCAGAATTCTCAGACTTGTGCTTGTTTACTTTCAGAGTCTTCTCCCTCTACGAGGGAATGTTTCAATTCAGTGTCTTCTCTGTGTTTTGCCTCATGTGGTTTTGACTATGACTTAAATATTTCAAATATATTTTTGTAGAATACTAACTCCCACCAATTCAAATGCTATGAATTTGGTCAGCCGACATCTGAGACCTATGACAGAGATTCTTTTTTTTTGTAACCCTCTTGCCTGCTTGATGCTCTTGCCAACATTATTGGAAAAGATCCTGATTTGTTTCTTTCTTTTGTTCAGTAACTATGAAAGTTTGTGTGACCACTTCCAAGTTGGAATATATTGTTGGGAAGAAACAGAACCAATGCTCTTATATCGTGGTCACATATTTGGCTCATAATAAAATATCTCTTATTACTTTTGAGGTGAGAGTGCTCTTTGTGTTGGCAGTGATGGTGCTCAAATGTACAACTCTAAGAAGATGATTTCAGCCAAGCTATCACCTGGATCAGTGCCAAGCATCAACCTGGATTTTTAGTGTTCAACTTTCTGGGTTACTATTGATGAGTTATGAGGCCTGACATCCTTTTTCTTTGCTTGATGGTCTGGTGCTTCATTCTAAACTAATTGTTTGACATTCTCCTGCTTTATTTCAAAGCATTTAGCTAGAACATTTGTTTATTTTGTTTTATGTGTGTTTCCAGAACATTCTTCCAGATAATTCATCTGCTTGCTAGCATTTGAGCTTTCTACCACACTTCTGATATCTAATTCTGCCTTCCTTCTGAATGGTTGTAAACTTGCCCCTATTAAGTGAGTGCCTCACATAATGTTGCTGAGTACAAGAGCTTTATTCCTTCCTCCAACTCAGCAGGGGTACTGATGTCAGTAGGGCTCTCCCTAGTACTTGCAATGTTCTCATAGGGACTGCTTACTGGCTTACTTTTGAAGATTCACTAAAGGATAACCTCACAGTGTTTGAACCACTATATGTTTCAGTAATTTGAAGAACAAATTTAAGAGATGAAGGCAATGAGTCTTCACATCAGAGAAATGGAGCCCTCCTCATAGCAATGTGTACATCTGATCCAAACCACCAGCCCCTCTAGCTAATATATTGTTAGAAAGTTGAACTTTTCAGGAAAAATCTCAGACTTTTTTGGAAAACCACTGATATTTGGTGTGATATCTGGTTTTATGTTCAATAATATGGTAATTTAACTTGCTAAAATAAGGAATATTTTATATTCTTTATATGTGTGTGTGTACATGTGCATTCATGAGCTCATACTAAAAGCCATGAAAGGAAAATCTACTTTAATTAAAAATTTAAAACTACAAAGGAAAAAAAATAATGAATTTTTTATTTGTCAATAGTACAAGTTTTAGAAGTATATCATCTCTTAAAGGTATGTTAAGGTACAAAAACTGATAATTGAGTTTCATGAATCATGCCAAAATAAAGACAAAATCCAAAGATCTAACTTTCCCAAATGTCCTACTGTCATCTGTTCTTTTCTGACCTAACCTCTCCCTCCTTCTTTGTTTTCTCCCTTTACTCCTTTCTGCAGTAAATCCCAGCTGGGTGTGTGGCGGGAGACATGCATCAAAAGAAAAAAGGTTTTACGGTCTCATTAGCAATTACGAGGCATCCTGAAACATAGCTCTGACTGCTGAAGAATTCTATGGCCAGAGAAATGGTTCAGTGAATAAAGGTCTGCACTCCCAAATCTAATGACCTGAGTTCAATCCCTGGAACCCACAGTGAAAGGAGTGAACTAACTGCCTCAAGTTGTGCAATGAACTCACATAGACACACATACACAACACACACACACACTGAACTCACATGGGCACACACAGAATAATTTTTAAAAGAATTTCAGATTTTTTTTTTATTTACCAACAAACCAATTTTCTAACTCTGGTTAAATTAATTCAAAATTTTTATATGTATGAGAGTATCGTCTTCTGCTTTAAAAAATTTATTTCTTTAAAGTTTGTAATACAATTGTAATTGCAATAATAATTGTATCATTTCTTCCCTCTCTGTCCTTCCTCCAAAGCCTCCCAACTTCTCCTCCTTGCTTTTTTTCAAAGCCAAAGCATATATGTGCATATAAGAGCACAACCTGCTCTGTCTGTAAATTGTTAATAGGTTGTATATTTTCAGAAATGACAGTTTGGCATTAGATAATCAGTTTTTTTCAGAAGACTTCTAATTCTCAAATTAGACTTAAGACCCACTCAACAAGACGGAAATCATACCTAATACTGAAAACCTAGCCAACCACCCAAGGCTAGTGAAGTCACTGATCTTAGAGGAGAACCTCCAACTTACTATTGTACTAAAGCAGCATATTTCCCAACTGCATTTTAAATAGGTCTCCTTCTAACCACAAATAAGTGTAGCACTTACCCCATACCATGGAGACTACTCTTTGCTGTCTGAGTTTTGGAAAGTTGAGAAGACATTACATTAAATGTACGTAAGTTTATCTTTGCTTTCATTTAAGGATGTTATTTCTAAGAAATGTAAATATTTTTCCTTGTTAAACATGATGACTACTACAACTGGCATGATCCAGGGATTTATTCCATAATGACTTGATCAACTATCTCCTTTTTCTGGAGACTACTCTCCTTTCTTCTCAGCTATTTTTTTTTTAAATGAAACCTTAGGAACGAACCTTCTAGCACCATGGGAAATAAAACCAAATTTGACCTCAATGTACACACAATGTACATCGATGTTCTAGGCAAACATCAATCCTTCTCTGTAAACTGGAGATTCCATAAAACAGAAAAGTCACACCTGCTTTAAAGATGCCACAGGGCTGACCAACTGAATAGAAATTGTGATGACAAGGAGTTGGGATGGTCCGCATCCTGTGTCACAGCATCTTGAGTTATTTTAGTGTCAACCTGACTCTTCTAGGAAGTAGCAGTCTTAGTGGATGAATTGTTACTATCCGGAGAGCTTATGGGGATGTCTCTGGGGACATTTTATTTATTGGTAATTGATGTACAAGGGTCTAGAAAGCCAGAGAAAGTAAGCCAGTAAGCAGAATTTCTTTGCTGGTTTCTGCTTCCAGTCCCTGCCTTGAGTTTCTACCTTGGTTTCTTCCACTGCAGACAGACTGCAACTTGCAAACTAAGTTAGATCCTTTACTTAGGGAGTTGATTTTAGTCCTAGTGTTTAACACAGCAACAGAAAGCAAACTAAGAAAGACCCCTTAGTTGGCATTCATAGTTCTCCTTGTGTCTGACAATCCTTGTGAATATCAAGAAAAAATTTTGAAATGTGTTTGGCAGTTCTCTAGTTTTCATTCAATCCCAGGCTAAGGACCACATAGAATACATTCTGAGACGCATGGCAGAGAGTATCCTGATCTGCTGTAACCTTTATTTTTGATATTCATGATTTTCTTTGGGGGAAAATAAACTTTGATTCTAACCTTTCTATTGATTGTAAAGTTTATGTAACTTCTTCCATGTTATAAAATAATATTAGAACATCCAAAATCCATTCCCCATGTTGTATCCACTCAAATAAAGTTAAGGAGAAATGATTTTATTCTCTGGATGTGAGAGCTCCATTTGTGTTGGCGGGTATATACAAAATTCCATATTAGTCTGCCACAGAAAAGAATTAAAATCTGCTGCATGTAACCTTCACCTTAGAAAGCTGTAAAACAAGGTAAGTTATATTCAAAGAAAATGGAAAAAGTAATAATGATAGAAGCATAAACTGGTGAAAGTAAAAGCAAACAATATAGAAAATTCAATAAAATGGAGCTTGTAAAGACCCATAGAATTGGAAAAGCCTTTGAACTGGTCAGGAAAGACAACTATAAAGGCTTAATTCCAAGATCATTTCTAAAAGAAACCATCACAATGAATCTGTCAATCTGTGACGGGAAAGTTAACACTATAAATCTATTTCCATAAATTTGACAACTTATATCCAGTTAAGGATTAATGTACAATCTATGAACTCCATAAGGTTATTTCCAATAAAACATTTCTAAGTAAATATTGATAGGAACTTGATTCTTATAATTCAGAGATCAGAGTGTTTGGGAAAAGACACGAAGAGAAAATCAACAAAAGAATCCATGTTGGGCTCCATACTTACGTCGTTGTTCAAAGAGAAGAGAGAAGTGAAGTCTGTTGTTTACTACTACACACAGGTGGGCTAGGAAAGCCCGAGCACCCTGTTTCTAGAAAGCCAGTATGTGGGGTGGGCCTCGGAGATGGGTGGAGAGAAAGGCAAGTAATGGAGGCAAATATAAGAATAATAGACATCACATGTTTCTCTCTTGCAGAAAATATATACCTGTATCTGACATGGAGGCAGAAGAGAGACTATTACAGAAGAGAAAGAGAAAACAGAAAAGCTGAGGGGAGGAAGGGTAATTGTCAGTATGGACATTGTATAAAGGTATACCACATACTAAAATGTCACAATGAAACCCATTATTTGTAAGTTAATTAAGGAGGAATAATATAGTCTTAGATTTTGAGCTATTATTTCTTCCTTTGCCTTGTGTCATATGGTGAGAATTAATATTTTTTATTTTAACTCATTTTTATTTTATTTATTTTTAATAAATTTATTTAATAAATGGGTCTTAGTTTCCTTTTTTCTAAAACTGTGCAGTGCTCAGCACATACAAAATTATTTAAATTTTAATAAAATGTTAAATAAATTTTGATGTCTCCAACTTAATACAACTTATTAATACTTAATAATAAATACCATAAAAATACTATCATCATTTCCTTCTAACATAAGACCAAATCTTTTTTAGTTTCCACCAGTATTTTTTTCCTGTTTACTGAGACTCAGGTAAGAAAAGGTCTCTACTCACTGGAGTCATAGGAATGAGCCTTCAATCACTCTGATTCTAGCCCACTCTGTCACTGCAGTGCTTGAATCTTAGTTTTACATACGAATTACTGAACTCCTTCTTATTTGTCTAGAACAATCTTCCCACCTTACTCTTTAAATAGCTTTCCCATGATTTGATGTCTGTCTCATTTATTATATTCAATTAAGGGAATTTTATTTCCTGATTTCTATTGCCCAGTTCCCTCTTATACTATGTTTTCTTCCTCAAAATTGTAGTCGATATTTCTATAATTATACCCAAAGAACTGTTTATAACTTTAGAACTTATATATCAAAATTAAGTTTGATTTTACCCCTCTCAATGAACCCTCTTCTGCAGTCACAGATGGTGACAAACACCTCTGCATTTGAACCTTCATTTCTTTTGTTTTATGAAGCTTGAGAAGAGAGAAAAATGAAGCCAGCAGAACATAAGCTAAAGTCATGAATGGAGATTCTTTTTTCTCAGCTTTTAGAACACAGCTGTGAAGCCATAGACAAACCATTTGGTGACTGCGAAGATTAAATACCAGTGTTTATGTAGCAATTCATAGAGAAGTATGGAAATCTTTATACAACAATCATAAATTAGTTTTATATATGTAGTTCAGAAATCTTTGCACTCTGTAGTTACATCATTCTAGGAGACAGCAACCAACACATTCAACAAGCATGACCAGTAAATAAACACCATAGAAACCACTCTTAGAGATGGAGCTTACTCTCAAGTTTGTGTGTTTGTGTGTGTAAGGATAAAACTTCATTATGATATTGATATGGTATTTATAATTCCCATGATACCATTATATGTCACTATAATATTAATAAGTAGATGAAAAATTCAAGATGTCTCTTTTGTGTTTTAAACATAAGCTTTACTTAAGCTAATTACATTTTATAAATGTAACTTTTAATGTTTTATTAAGTGTAATAGCTTCTAAGTTTTAACTGAATTTTCATCTTCCAATGAGCTTTATAAATAAGAGGCAAGGCCACCATGGCTTCCACACAGATCTATCATAGTTCACTTTGGTTCTTTTATCCCTTTGTTAGCAGTGGTCAGAAAATGGAAGTCAAAATCCCTCTGGGCCATGTTTTTTGTTTTTTGTTTTACTAATTAAAATTTGACCCAAATACAGTTCTACAAAGTAACACCATGACAACATGATAAGATCTATATTTCACTCTCTACTACATGAACTTTGCATGTGTGATTTATCTTAATCCCACTCCATGTTATGGAATAATTGCCTTTTCTTTTAAATTGGTGAATGAGGGATTTCTAGCATCAAGAACTTATAACTTTTCTAAGGTCACATGTTTTGTCCATACTGGAACTAACTTCTCAACCCAGACATTCAGAGCATATTTAGCATATTTAGGGAAGCCAGCTTATTATAGAAAACTCAATAGGTCCCATATACACCCCAAATATTAAACCATATAATCCCATTTTTCTGAGTATGGTATAAGGGAGAAATAGTGGTTAAAATGTCATTTGAAAGGATTATACTAGACTGAAAAATTGTTTCCCCGAATATATGCGTCCCCATTCTTTTCATCTGTGAGAGTTTCATTGTATAGTCAAAATTGCAGATGTGATTAAACAATCTGAAGACTGCATAATATTATACATTTTTAAGTGATCACTAAATTCCCACATTAGTGTTTTTATTTCTTTAAAAAAATTGACACACAAGAGGAGGAGGCAGCTTGTCATGGTAGCTGAGTTTGGAGTGATGTAGCTTACTGAATCATGTTCGTTTATTTTTTTAGCTCTTTCTTTGTCATTGACATGTTGTATGAACAAACTACCATTGCTTCCCATTCTCATATCCTACAATTAAAATGTCACATGTCATTTTCCTGCTGTAACAAATGCTGCTGTGAGCACTGTACATGTTGACAGGAACACACACACACAGTACTCACACATTCACAGAATTTTCACAAGCATGTATAGTCTGTACTGCAAGAATATGTTTGACTTTTCTAGTTATTAGAAAACTACACTCCAACACAGTTGGGCGAATTTCCAAAACCACAATATGAGAAAACATTTATTGTGCTATTACTACATTTATAGACTATTGTGGGACATAACTTTCCACTAATAGGTTTAAAACATCTCCTGCAGCTTCTGTTTGCTTTTCCTCATTATTGGTCAGGTTGAGCAGCTGTCTGTGTATGTTGATTGTCCTTATGTCTTCTATTCTGAAATTGTATTGGCTTACTTTTTGGCCAAGTAGTAGGTTTTGTTAAGCAGTCTGCTCATCATTTCTTTATATTAAATCATGTTCAAGTAAAATTTTCAGTTTATGCTTTGAAAATGAATGTTTTAAATTTGCATAACAAAATTAATCTTTTTTCTTTTACTTTGAGCTGAGGCCTTTGATATTTTTCAGGTGTATCTATATTAGTTACTATATTAGTCTTGTCACTTGACCACAAATTAAACAAGAAGCATCTTAAGGGGCAGAGGTTTATTTTGTCTCACAATTTGAAAGGACAGGAACCCTTCCTGACTTGGCAGGTATGAAAACTGTAGTGGTTTGTGGCTCTGTAGCAGGTTGGAAAAAGGTTACATCACCTCCGTAGTCAGGAAGCAGGATGATGAACCCTGTTACGCTGCTGCTTTTCTTCTTTCATCATCTTTTATTGTTGAAAATGTCGCTTATGAGTACTACATTCTTGTCATTTTTATCTCTCTCTTTCACCTGTTTGGGTCTTCCCACATTCAACCTGTACTCTCATGAATTGATGAACTTTCTTCTTTAAGCAAGCTCACTTTAGAAGAAAATTGATTGCTCTCTCTCTCTCTCTCTCTCTCTCTATATATATATATATATATATATATATATATATATATATATGTGTGTGTGTGTGTGTGTGTGTGTGTGTGTGTATTCCTGTTCTTGATTAAGGTATTGTGACTGTGTAGTTTATTTAAATATAGGTTAATAGATAATCATCCATAATAGACAAACTTGTAGTCATGTTAGTTAGATTTTCTAGGTGGATAGAGATGTATTTCAAATGGATAGGCATTCTTCAAACTTTTCAAAGACTACAGAATATGGCATTTAAAATATTTAAGAATTTAGGGCTTTTCATGACAATGAGATACATCTGCTCCTGGCAACACCAATTACTTCAACAGGAAGCCTATCAAAGAGGCTCCTTATTGAGCAGCTTTGCCATTTGGGCAAGAAACTGCTCTGTCCTGGACTACTTGATGAACTGGACATGCAGGACCCACAGAGAAGTGACTGCTGAACTTGCCTAAAAGTGAGATGATCCTTTGCGGTTCCTGCATTGTGAAAGAGTCTGCTAGACATTCTCCATGACACAGAAGAAAGTGACTGAAAAACTGCCAATGATGGCGGAACTGTCTTTGAAATTTCCTGCTTCATGGAAAGTCTGATGGATACTATGGGCCTGTAGGCTGAAGATGGATGCCCCAACAGTAGAGAAAAACTTTGGGTGCCTGTCCAGGCAGCATGGTATCTTTGTCAATTCTAGAGTTTTGAAAGTTGCTTACAATGTACTTCCTGTTTACTTAGGTAATTTTATATCCTTCTGGAGTCTTTGATGGAGTTGAAGAATTGAAAGTTATAGATTTCCTTAGTTATAGTAAAAGATAAAGTAAATATAAGTATTATAATTCTTGCTTGATACATTTTGTTATGTTAAAGTTAAAGCCTTCCTTTTTGTTTAAACAGAAAAAGGGAAATGGTGTGTGAGGTCCTTCTATCTATGTGTTGCTTTCATTGGTTAATGAATAAACTGCCTGGCCTGATAGGGTAGAACAGAGCTAGAAGGGGAACATTAAGCTGAATGCTGGGAGGGGAGAAAGAAGGCAGAGTAGAGAGAAGCCATGTAGGCCCACTGGGGACAGACACCAGAATTTTAGCCAGTAAACCACAGCTACATGGTGATACACTGATTGCTAGAAATGGATTAAATTAAGATATAAGCGTTAGCTAGGAAGAAGCTAGAGCTAATGGGCCAAGCAGTATTTTAAATAATATAGTTTCTGTGTGATTATTTTGGGGCTAAGTTGCCAGGAACCAACAAGTGGCCTCATTTCAACAGAAAATGACTACACAACATACCAAATTCAAGGGACAAAATGAAAGTACTGTTAAGAGGAAAGTTCATAGCACTAAATGTCCACATAAAGAAGCCAGAAAAACCCAACACTAGTGAACTAACAGAACATTTGAAAACTCCAGAACAAAAAGAAGCAAACTCATCCAGGAGAACTAAAAGGTCGGAAATAATCAAATTGAGAGTTGAAATCAACAAAATAGAAACAAAGAAAATAATACAAAGAATCAATGAGACAAAAAGTTGGTTTTTCAAGAAAATAGAAAAACCCTTATCCAAGAACCAAAAGGCAAAAAGAGAATATCCAAATTAACAATCAGAAATAAAAAGGGGAACATAACAACAGACATGGAGGAAATCCAGAGAATCATCAGGTCATATTTCAAAAGCCTGTACTCTACATAATTGGAAAACATAAATGGAATGGACAACTTTATGGAT